AGAAGGTTCATTTAAATACCAGTTAGTATCGTTCAGTTGTGTGCCATCCAGGAACCGGAATTTCCTTGGAATTAGAGATTCCTTTATCCCCAGGTAGGTGTAGGTATTAAAATTTTTCACAAAGTACAGAATGGCATCATTGTCACTTGGGTTCCTTGGAGTGGCAATAGACCCTCCAACATCTCTGCATTTTTTTTTTCAGTGTAATATGGAAATCACCTTTTTTCCCTTTAGTAGCAAATATTTTTCCTCCAGATGCTATTATCTTTTCCAAGTGGTGGACTGCAACATGAGGTGAAAGCTGTTAAACTTTGATGCATTGTTTTGTGGTCACTTTGCTGCTGATTGTAATTTCCACTATTTTAGTCCGTAACTTTAGATTAAACCCAGGAAAAGGTAAAGAGGAGGAAAACTTGAAATCAAAGATTAAAAAAACAGAAAAGAAAAAAAGACAACCCCCAAAAGCCAGATGATGGCAGGGGAAAAAGGAAGAAACACATAAAAATATAGACAATGAAATAGAAGAACAACAAAAGAGGTTGGAGAAGGAGCGGGGAAGAAAATAAGGAATTCTACATTTAGAAAAAGTACATTATTATTTTCTTGGGGTCTCTGTACTCTGTATAAGCTCCCTGAGATGGTTTGCAGTGTACAAGTATATGTCAGTCCTTGACCGAGTAGGATCTTGGATGTGATCTCGTTGTGATTGTTTTGGTATGTTTTTTGTGTTCAGTTTATTGGTCTGTTAGGAGCATGAGATGCCCATGGAGCACTTCAGCATAGGCAGGGATTTTAATCTGATAAGTTTCTGACTTGCTTGCACCCATACTTTGGAGCTGTCACCTAGGTATCTCCCACTAGTTAGGAAAAACTAATTCCACTGCCCCCCCAGTTTGGGAGTTATCACTCTCCTGTCTATCAGTGAACAAAATATAAATGGAATGCAATAAACCAGCAGAAAATTTTGCTTTTTTCCTGAGAAGCCATTTTTTTGCTCATCTTGTTTATGCTCGCTAATTCAGCTACAGCAGAAAAAAAAAGCAGATAAATTACCTCCTTCAGGACTGGATATCCAGTGTTCTAGTTGACAGATAATGTCTTCCATTTTGTTATCAACCAGTGGTAGGAAACCTATGAACAAACCCAGCTATTATGCACTTTCCATTACTGTTTGAATCTTGGCTTTCATGATAAAGCGGAGGTAATCGTGTGAAATTAATATGAACTTTTAAAATGTTTGTTTGACCCGTTTTGGTTTACTGCTGTGTTCTAAGCAGGGGATCTTTTCACACATTGATCTTTACAAGGATAGGGAATATGTTCCTGGAAACTACCTGCAGAGCAGTGATGTTTATGGAAAACTTGAATTAGCAAACTGAGTTTGTCTTCACTCTATAAGTGATTGAGCTGGTCCAGGCAAAACACTGGCACTTGTGCAGTAGGTTTAGTTGATTTTTAACTGTGTCTAGGGATTGTTGACAGAATCCTTCAGGCTGCTCAAGCACTTGCACCTAGCAACAAGTTTCTTGTGCCCTGTGTTATGGAAAATGATATCCTTTTCTCTGCGAATTGAACCATTGCATCCTTAAGTAGGAGAGATTTAAGTATCTTACCTCATATAAGGAATTAATAAAGATCTGTTTACTTTCTATCAAGTAGAACCCACACCAGATTTATACAGCATAGCACTAAGTTTACAAAGCATAACAATGGAACACAACAGTACGTCTAGATAAAAACAGAGATAGTAACTGCATGTACCTGGTATCAAGCCTTCATCTATCCCATCTTCAGGCAAGCACGCAAAACCAGGCAGTGGGGGAATTCCTGCTGGTTTACCTTGAGCACAGCGCAGGAGCAGGAAAAAAGCTACTCCTAAGATTTTGTGGAACAGCTGTGGAGACAGCATATTTAAAGCCAAAAGTAAAACAGACTCTCTTACTCTCCAGTATAGAGCCCTGTGTTTTAAAACAAACAAAACAAAAACAATATTTCAGAACTTTGCTGTCTGGGTTTACAGTTTTATGTACCTTAAGCTTTGCCCTCAGTGACATGAATGTCATTGCAAAGTTAGGTTATTTCAAATACTTAAAGTCATCTTCCAAAAGACTCAGTCTGTTAATCTACTTAAGAGTTTAAGCTACAGAGCAAAAAACCTAAAACATCCCCTTCAAAGTTTTTTTTTTTTTCTGTACAGCAGATATATGCTGGTTTTCCCACACAAAAACCTGTAGTTTCAGCCTTAATTTTACAGGGGAGCAATAGACATATATCTGCTTTAGTAAGAGAAAGCCAGGTTAAGATAAACTGGGATACGCTGTCTTTATCAATTGGTTTAGAGTGAAACAATTGTTAATGATTATTCTTCCATTATGGCATCTGTCTTTTAAAGTATTTTCACCTGAGATAATATCCTCTGTAAAAGTGAAAGTTTTAATAAAAATGTTGAGACACAAGGAAAAAAAAAATCTAAAATGGAAAGCTTGTGATACAGTTTAAGACGATTCAATGTAATTTAAAAGGAAGCCTATTTAAAGATGCTCAGCTTACCTAGCAGCTCCAATATGAAATAAGAATGACTCTTTAAATGGTCTAATTTATAGGGCATATAACTCGAGATTCATTTTGTTGCCTACAAGAAATACAAAGAGCATGCAATGTGATATGAATTTGCATATGAATAGAAATTTCAGAAACTTTAACTTGAATGATAGGTGGGTTGTTTTCTTTGAGAGGTAAACACTTAAAATGTGAGGAAAATATTTGAGGGTACTTACTTTCTTGATGTGTAGAAACGTTTCACATGTTTTAAAAAAAACCAAACAACTCTGGAGCAGAACAAGGCAATTTCTCAATATATATTTGAAACATTTCCACAGAACAGGTGTGTAAATGTTAAATTGTAAATGTCACTGAAGATCATAGAATCATTTAGGTTGGCAAAAGACCTTTAAGATCATCCAGTACAACCATTAAATTAACGTTACCAAGTCCACCACTAAACCAATTAAGGGCAGAGTAGCAACCCCACGCCTCCTGGCTTGGTGGCTGGATCATTTATAATGAAAGTAAAAACTAGGAATCATTAAGATTGGAAAGGACCTCTAAGATAAGCCAAAACAAGGAGTTCACTTGAAATATAATACGCACCAGGAGTACCACCATCATTTTCATTACAGACTGAGGACTTATCAGTGATAATTATTGATGTTTTGAATCTCATAATTGTAGCAGCAAAGCTGAAAGACAGTGGTACATCTGCAGCATATGGAGAGGTAATAGCCACAGAAGCACATACGTAGATAAGCTACAGAATACTCCAGGGGAAGCTTATATATCATAAATAATAGCAGTTTTACCATACTATGTAAGTAGTACAGTTTTATCCAACAGAACAATGACCTTTCAGTAAAGGAAAAAGCTACTGTAAACCAGTCCTGTAAGTACAGAGGCTTTAAGATGTGGAGCATCGCCATGCACTTTTAAGTTATTCTCAGCTGAGAGTCATTTCTATCTGATGGAGACTTTTAGGAAGGAGTTTCAGGCTGTGCTCCAGTTCAAACACATCGATGTGGTGTTCAGGCCAGCACCCTAATGTTGCAGCAAGGCTAACACTCAAATCAGTTGAGGAATAAGTGTTTTCAGATTAGATGGGGAACGTGAGCAATATCTATGTTAGTCTAAGATGCTACTGGATTTAAGCAAGCCTAGATCACCTCCACAGGCACCCTGCACCTTCATACTTACCTCAACTGACATAGAGTCCTTTGTCATTGCTGTTGCGCCCGCAGAAGCTTGATTAATTCCTGCAGCATTGTTTACCGAGTGAGTGCCCTGGAAAAGGTACCAGTCCTGTGAAAACTAAATAAGCAGTACCCAGTTGTATGTACCTTGACAGAAGAGGGCAATTTTAAATTTACATGACTAACCTTTGTTTAAAGTTTCTTGGTAAGTTCCAAGTTTCTTAGCTTTTGAGTGTTTGACTTAATGCTTTTAACATTCTTTTGGCAGAGGTTTTCTAATTTTTTTTTTTTGGGGGGG